TTGAATTAAAAAAAGGTTTCTTTCCTTTTACGAAAAAAAATTTAAATTAAAGAAATTTTTTCTTGCGAATAATTTAATATTTTAAAATTATATTTTAATCAAAATAAAAAGTATACAATCTCAAAATGAAAAAAAAATATTTTTTATTTAAAGAAAGGGTATTAAAATAAAAATTTATTTCTTTGATTTAAATAAAAAATTTTGTAAAATCAAGAAAATATTTGTTTGAATCATCAAAAAGGAAGTAAAAAAATAATTTCTTTAAATTAAAGAATTTTTTTTTTAAATAAAAGAAATTTTTCTTTAACCCTATAACAATGCAAAAATTTCTTTGAAACCAAGAAAAAAAATTTTTGAATCTCTCTCTCTCTCTCTCTCTCTCTATCCCAAAGAGTAAAAAAAATATATTCTGAATTAAAATTTTTTTTTATGTCGTAAATTAGCCATTTAATTTTTTAATATCATCACGCATGTATATCAGCATATATAGCTACTTCGCTTGGATTCTTGAGAAGTTCCGTGAAACGGTGCGCTCAACGTTAACGAAGCGTTAAAGCGAAGCAGGTGCGGTGCATAAATGTAGCAGATATAAAACATATAATTATAAAGAAGGTAATAATTAAGCGTTGAGAAATACGTGAAAAGGGGGTTGAAAAGTAGTGACCTAGGTTTCTGAATTCCTTGGGAATCACAAGTTTTTTGAACTCCACAATAATGCGTAATGACTTGATTAAATCATAAAAGCTTCTCATCTCCCAAAGAAAAAATTAATACTCCTTTGGAATAGAATTTTTTTTTCATATAGACGTTCGATTTAAAAGTAAAATTAAATGAAAAAAAATTTACTACACAGTTGTTAATAAAACTTTAAATTTTTAGGTAGGATCTTACCTTTATTAAAGAAAATTAATAAAATTATTAGCGTTAAATCATCAAAAAAAACTTTCTGCATAAATTTAATGAAATTAAAAAAAAACTAACATCAGATTCGTAATCAGCGACCTCGAAAACCCCCGAGTAACGAGTTTCAAGTGAATTCGATAAATTTTTACAAAATTCGTGCGCCATATTGGATCCGCCATTTTGAATTTTCGAAAACCGTCTTCAGATTCGTATTCAGCAACCTCGAAAACCCCCGAGTAACGATTTCTAAGCGAATTTGATATTTTTTTAAAAAACTCCATCATATTGGATCCGCCATTTTGAATTTTCGAAAACCGTCTTCAAATTCGTATTCAGCAACCTCGAAAACCCCTGAGTAACGATTTTCAAGTGAATTGGATAATTTTTTAAAAACTATTCCGCCATATTGGATCCGCCTTTTTGAATTTTTTATAACCGACATCAGATTTGTAAACAGTGACCTTGAAAACCCCCGAGTAACGAATTTACAGATTATTAATCTGATAATTCTATTTCGGCTTTTTAAATTCAATGAAAAATTGAAATTCTATAAAAATTACTAGTTAATAAATTAAATTAATTTAAAAATAATTCAAAAATAAATATAAATATCCTTTATAATTAACAACCAACGTAGACCAATATAAAAAATTAATTTAATAACTAAAAATACTTGTTATAAAATATTCAAAACGATTTAAAAAGAAATTTACCTGAAAATTACAATATAGTCGAAACATTTTATTTTAATTATATTTTCACTTTGTAACTCACACACCATTGACTTGTGTGACCTTTTCGACAATAATTATTGCCTGAAACCCAGTAGCAATTTTCTGAAAGGCTTTATATTCTTTAACAGCAATAATATCCTCCATTGACTTGAGAGGAGAGAAATCTTCACCAAGAGTCGACAGAAATCAGTATTGCTGTTGAAAGGAATTCACGAAGTCGAACTCTGGGCTCAAATGGAATTCCATTTGAGTATAAATGAATCGCTCTTGTCTCGCGTAAATTGCTTTTCGAATGCAGTTTACTATATACCGGCGCAGCAAAAAAATAGAAGTTCTTATCTGAGTGTCTTTGATTTTCCATTCCGCGTTCATCAACATAAAAACCCAGTGGACTTTTTTTTTGCGCTTAGAGGCAAAAAAAAAAATTGTACAAAGAAATTTTTTGATATCTGTAATGGAAGTAGCGAAATTGAAATTAAAATCTCTGTGATAATTAAAAATGTATATATAGTTGAACAATATTGGAATAATTATATATTGTTAATTAAAATTATATTATTATTGTATGTGGTTGAAGTTGACAAAGTTTGAAATAGTACCCTCTGAAATTCTCCGTCAGAACTCCGTTACATAATTACGAGCGTAGGATGCGGATCGATTAGCGCACGACGAAGAGAAAGGCAGAATATTCTGTGGATTGGTTTAAGAACTGGGTAGGTATGTGAATCACCATGCCACCACAGCTTTATATTCCCTATAGCTATATAGCGAAACTATAGACATTATTGTTGTTGGAGGTTGCGGACCTTATATTTCTAAACAAAAAATTTTTTTTTTCAAATTTCATCCATTTCATCCATTGTATTCATATGGTATCCGGCATTTGATTATTTTATCACAGAAGAACAATCTCTGAAGTGGTAAACATTGCATCAGTACAGGGATAAAAGTACTGGTACCTTAGAGGACATTAGGACATTAGAAGTTCTATGGACTTAAGTAGTTCTGAAGTAAATGGAAGTCTTTTCGACTTTGGGAGTCGTAAGATTATTATGAGTCTTTAAGACTTAAGGATTCCTGAAGGTATTAGAAGTCCTTTGGGCTTAAGAAGTTCTAATCGGAAGACTTTTAGGCTTTAGGAGTCCTAAGAGTTTTAGGAGTCCTAAGATTTTTAGGAGTCTTTAGGACTTAAGGAAACCTAAAGTCATTGTAAGTTCTTAGGATTTAAGAAGTTCTAATTGGAAATCTTTTGGACTTCAGGAGTCCTAAGTTTTTTAGAAGTTTTTAGGACTGAAGAAAACCTAAAGTCATTAGAAGTCTTTTAGATTTTAGAAGTCCTAAAGTCATGACAAGTCTTCAGGACTTTTGGAGTTTTAGAAAAAATCATCTTGGGGTGCTCCAGTCTAGAACAATTTTGTCACATATTCCAAAACCGTTTTTCAGACTTGTCACCAAAAATTGACTTACAGTCCTAAAGTACTCCTATACCTAGAAGTATGATTTTTGCAGTGGTTGTCATTAGAAGTATTTAGACTATATAAGTCTTTAGGACTTTAGCAGACTTTAGGGCATTAGATTAAGTCTTTAGGAGATTAGGAGTCCTAGAGGACTAGATTAAAGTTATTAGATTGTAGAAGTCTTTAGGAGATTAGGAGTAACAAAGTTATTAGATTGTAGAAGTCTTGAGGAGATTAAGTCCTAAAGTTATTAAAATTCTGTTATGCTTTAAAACTCCTAAAGTAATTAAAAAGACTTTTCGACTTTAGGAGTCCTTAGGTCATTAGATGTCTTTAGGATCGAAGTTCTACCAAAGATAATTCCCACGATCTTACGCCAAATGACACTTTAGCCTCTACCTAAAAATTATACCACTTTGTCAAAGATTTGAATACTTGAACCAAAAATAATCTCTCAACTCCCTACAGTTTTTGTATTAGAAAAAATCCTAATTATCTTATTTAAGTTTTCCTTAAATCGATTCCGCATTTTTCCAAACTCATTTCGGATAAGGATTTTTTACCAAATTAAATCAGGATTATTGTGGACTAATACCAAATTTTACATATAAAGATTTAAGATTATTACGGATTCCGTTTTTTTAAAAACGGAAAAAAGTTAGCTGATATAGCCTTAGCTGAGGCACCTAACAATTAATGCTAATACTTTTTTTCAAATGTAGCAAATATCTATTAGCTGCAATAGCAAATAACTATTGCTGCATCAGCTAAATCGTTAGCACAACCAGCTAATTGATTAGAGGTAATGCATATTTGCTGCTAAAGCTAAATCATTTTTCTCTGTGTAGTACTTAATCCGGATTGTTGCCTACTGTTTGCGGATAGTTTACATAAAAATTGAAAAGTATTTTATACTCATTTTGGATTGTACTACGTTAAATAAAATCAAATTATATAGCTCAGAATTTCGCCCAAGAATTTTTTTAATTATAAATAAATACCACCATTTTCCACATAAAGATTTTCAGATGATCACGAATAGTTTACATAAAAATTCTGGATTATTCTTTATTCATTTTTGTATTACTTGTAAGTTAAATAAAACCAAATATAGCTCAGAATTTCGCCAAAAAATATTTTAATTACCGATCATTTTCGGATTGTTTTTACACAATTTCTTGAACTAATTCGTACTGATCTGTCTGTATTTAAATTTTAAGGGTTATTTAATTAGCTTCAACAAAAAAAAAATTTTTCAAATTACAATGAAAAGATAATAATTTTATTTTCCCCTAGCGTCTAAAAGTAAAAAATTTTTCAAATTGTTCTTAAAAGAACTAAAGTGTCCTTGAGAGTAAAAATTGTTGGATGCGGCGAGGATCGACGACAATGCTCCGTTTAACGAATCGGGTCGGCAATTTATTTGAGCGACCGCGAGAGCAGATTTAGTCGATTCTGTGCGCCTATCGTTCCTTTTTTTTTTCCTGCGGTTTTCTGTTTCAGTATGCCTTTAAGTTGCACACACACGTGTGTTTGTGTATGTTTATGTGTTTCTCTCCTCCATACAAGTAAACGGGGCGCCTTCTCCCGCCCGCGCTCGGTTCCACCGCCGCGCGGCGTGGTTCGCCGTTCGCGAGTCGCAAGTCACCTCTGTTCACCTCAAGGCACTCAGTCCGCCCGAGTCGTGCACCACGAAACACGCAGACACAGGCAGCACGCAAAAGAGGAGAGCCTCCTCGCGCGCTCCTTTCGTTTTTTGTAAATCAAAATACAAATATAAGCTCTCCTTCGTTCGCGCCAAAAAAAAATTTTTGTGACAACAAAAAAAAAAAAGAAAACAATGATCCAAGTGAGAATTTACAAGTGAGAGTGACGATAGTTTTGAAAAAAAAAATTACTAATCCTGTCCGCCCACTAGTGTTTGAACGTACTACCACTGCTTCTAATCTTCCGGATTCGATTATTATTATTATTATTATTGTTGTTTTGCTTTTGTGAAACTGACACGCGAACTCCTGGTGATGTTGGTGTTGAGTGACCTGGCTTGACGGAACTTGCCACCTCTGGATTCGTGACTGACTTAGCGGTGACGGTCATTTGAGATGACTTCTGTCGTTCCCGATAAACGGTACGATCAAGTTTATTCAAATTTGTCCATCATCCCCCTTTCATATTTCCTCGTGAACAATTTTTTATCATTCAAAAACTTTTGTTCTTAATAAGAACTTTTGTTCTCCATTAGAATAAATCACCCCTAAAAAAATAAACGTGAAGGGAATTTTGTAGTCTAAGAGAACTTCGAATCTTTAGCATTCCATTAGGCTAAAATAAAAACTAGAGGTAATTTTTGGTGGTTCAAGCATTAAAATCTCTTGACAAAGTGATAAAATTTTTGGTAGGAGCTAAAGTTTCATTTGCCAGTGGGAATTATCTTTGGTGAGACTCCTAAAGTTCTCTAAAGACTTCAAAAAAATAATACTTCTATAGGAGTACTTTAAGACCCTGAGATAATTTTTGTTAAAGCAAAAAACATCTTTAGAATATGTGGTAAAATTATTTTAGATTAGCACCCGAAGATGATTTTTCTCCTATAGTCCTAAAGACTTCTATTAACTTTGGGACTTTTGATTTTCTAAAGACTTCTAATGACTTTAGGACTTCTAATTTCCTAAAGTCTTCTGTAAATAAGTTTTTGGTGACGAAAAAAAATCATCATTAGAAAATGTGCCAAAATTTTTTCTAGGAGAACAACAAGACGATATTTATTAGGAACCAAAAGTCCTAAACTTAGCATCTAACAAAATGATACAGCTTTAGATAGGAGCAGAATTATCATTATCCCTAAGATCGTGGAATAATCTTTGCTGATGGGATGATGATCTTCTAACGTGCTAAAGGAAATCCTTCGAATTTCTAACAAAATTATATTTTTAGGTAGAAAATATTTATTTTTCAATGTAGCTAAAGTTTCTACTTCAATTTTTTCTGTTAAATAATTTTCCCTTTGGCTTCTTTACTCGAGAAGAGAATTCAAAACTTTTGGATTTTTAGAAAATTAACATGAAAAATTTTGCCAGTTTCTTATTAACTATTTTTATTTTTGTAATAACTTGAGATCAATTTGGATTTTCCTTTTCTAGTATTAAAATCCCTGCGAATATGGTGATTTTCCGGAGTCTAAAATTATCAGAATTAGAATTTTGCTATAAGAATTTTCCTTAGTTATTTTTGCAACTGACATTGTTGAATTAAATGTCCTTGCGTCTATTCAATATAATCTAGAACGACACCTCAGTGAGATAGTTGATAATATCTTATTATTATTATTATTATTATTACAAGATATCTTGGCCGCTATAAGAAAATAATAGTAAATACTTCTAAAATTTGTTTCGTGCATTTTAATTTATAATAATGGTATTTTTTTTCTTTTTTTTATTTGCAAACAATCATTGTTGATTAAAAAAAAATTTCAACGCTATAATCAAAGATCAATAATAATTGTTACAAGATTTTCAAAAACTAAAATTTTTAAGAAAGAAAATATTATAATTATGTATTAGATTTTATTCAACCCTTCATCTTTCAAAAAAAAAATATTTTATCAAATGAAATTCTGTCAATGAAAAATTCTAACTAATAAATAGAACCTACTTTTGAGTTCTGCATTTACAATAAATGTAAAAAAAACATTTATAAAAAAATTTAACAACTAAAATGATTTAAATTACAAATTAAATTAGAAATCAAATTAAAAATTAAATTAAAATTGAATTATTATTTGTTATAGTGGGTAAATTTTTAATTTCTCCTTCTATTTGTTTCGTTTATTGAACTTTTTTCTTTTTGTAACTTTCAATTTGATTTATTACAAGCAAATTTTTAATAATTTAAATATCGTCTAATTTTTTTTTTCTTTGCGATTTATCCTTCGCCTTATTTTGACATCAGTAGATCGGATTATATGATTTTGTTCGTATCGTTTTTAAATTATCATCTAATCCCTTTCGAAAAAAAAAGTTATCATCATTGTCAATTATAATTTTTTTAAATCCATTTTAAACATAGTAATTTTATGATCTTTATCATAATTTTTTTTTTAAATCTTTATACTATATAATATTTTAACATAATACAAGTTTTTTTTAATTTTCTATATTTTCTACATCTGATATATTTTACGATTCAGTTTTTGTTACAATTAACTACTGCAGTAAATATTTAATATTTCTAGTATAGAAAATTTTTTAAATTAGGAAAAAATATTAAAAGAATTTTGATTTTAATAAAATTAGTCGAGAAATTTAAATTTATTTTAATTTTTAATTTTTTATATCTAATATTTTGATATAAATTTGATATTTTTTTTCATAGAATCTAATTTCAATTTACGATTTGAGGTTTATTAACCTCCAGAATGATTAATTGATTGACATAAGTAAATGAAGGGATTAATTTATATTAAATAAAATGTGGAGCAAGTTAATGTATTGAAAAAAAAAATTATTTAATAAATAAATATTTATTTGTATTAAAATTGTGAAATTTTATTAAATTTTATTTTGTATCTAATAATTATTATTTGAGTCAATTAAATAGTATTAGTTTCAAATATAGAAATTATTGGTTCAAATACAGTTTATTTAATTCAAATAAAAATCATTTGCTTCAAGTAAATATTTATTTTATAATAGTCAAGTAACCGATTATTTCAATGAAATAAATTTTTTTTTCAGTGTAAAACCTTAAAAAATCAATTTTAAAAAATTTCTTTGCAAACATTATTTTTATACATATATTATTCATAAAAAATCATGTTTACAATTTTTTTTCAAAATTGAATTTATCAGATTATGTTAACTTAGTCCTTAAATATTTTTTTTATCAGAAAATGAATAAATTTGTCTACAAGAAAAATTGATTAATTAAATTTATAACTTAAATTTATTTATTTATTTTTTTACAGTCATCAAACTATTAGTGCTTAAATCGATAAAAGCCAATAATCAAAATTTTTGAAAACCAACATCGGATTCCTAATCAGCGACCCCGAAAACTTCCGAGTAAACGAGTTTCAAGCAAATTTAGTAACATTTTACAAATTATTCCGCCATATTGAATCCGTCATTTTGAATTTTTGAAAACCGACATCAGATTCATAATCAGCGACCCCGAAAACCCCCGAGTAACAATTTTCAAGAGAATTTGATAATTTTTTAAAAACTACTCCGCCATATTGGATCCGCCATTTTGAAATTTTTAAAATCGACATCAAATTCGTAATCAGCGAGTCCAAAAATCTCCAAGTAACAAATTGCAAGCGAATTTAATAAATTGTCATCATTTTTCTTAGCACTGCTGACATAAAAATTGTTGATTTCTGTCTGAAAATGTATATTAAGTTTGCAATGATTTTTAATAGGTTAGAAAATTTTTTTCATATTCCTTTATATTTTTCCTCTATTCTCTATAGCCAATAAGCTTTTATTTTATTTTTTTTTTGATTTATTAAAATTGGTCAATTCTATTAAAAGTTCTATCATTTGACCAGGGTTGGGCACGTAACCCAGTGAGAAATCGTCCTAATCAATTCGATATTATTATGGTCCATGATCAAAATATGAAAAAAATTTGATGAAATTTTTATGATAAAAATTTAAATTAAAAACTATTTCTAACTGCCAAAAATGTATCTGTTAATATTTCCTATATATATATATATATTTATTATTTTTTATGTCGAAATAGAATAAAAATTATTCACTAAAAAAATTTTGGTGCAAAAATTGTCCCAAACGTCAAGTTGTCAACAAAATGTGAGGTTATGTATGGTTCCATAGATATATCTACCAATTTAACAAAAAAAAATGTCTGCCAACTTAACGAAGTACTTTACAGTATTTTACCTCCTTTTGAGGCACATTACCTGATTTAGCTATTTTACGTCATCAACCTCAACTGACACGTCAGTGCCCAACCCTGATTTTTACACAATAAAGGTACATTTACACCTTCGGTAAAAGGGGTTGGTTTCCATTGCCCCCACTCGTCATAATTCTCGTCAACTACCGCACCCTACTCTAGTTAAAAGTTAGTAACTTTATAGTAACTTTTGAATTTTAAAAATAAAGTCACTAAATTTTTACTAGAGCAGCGTGCGGTAGTTGTCGAGAATTATGACAAATGGCAAGTGAGGACAATGTAAACCAATGAAAATTTTCTTCACTTTGCATTTTCCGAAATACACTCACCTGATTGGTTATCCACAATGAATCAGATTCTGGATAACCAATCAGGTTTGTTCATTTCGGAAAATGCAAAGTTAAGAAAATTTTTTAATTTTGTACATTTTTAAAAAAAAAAATATATATATAAATTTAATTGTCATAATTAAAAAAAATAACTTTTAGGAAAAATATATTAAAAATTTTTAAAAAAGTGGTCGAATATATATTTTTTTTAAAATAAAAAAATATCACGAGTTTGTCGATATATTGGCGATTGGACGTTATTATGTCACACTCCCACGCGAGCGACGGCTGCTAATGTTGTCGTTGTTGCCGTCGCCGTTGTGCATAGCGGATATCTTTTGCCTGGTTCGCTCTTCACTTCGTGCACGTTGTCTGACATTTCCGCGCGAGGTGCCAGGCACCGCATTATTATATCCATAGAGGTTAAGACGCTCTTCGTGCGTAACTGTCTTTTCGAATATTCCCAACAATAACATTCTAGATTCTATAGATCACACTGAAAAACTCTATATAGAGAGATGTGAAACCATGACAAAATTTTACAGTTATTCACTAGTTTCTTTTTCAGAAACAAAATGTTTCCTTATTTTTTGACAAGCTCGAATGAGTTTTTAAAAATTAATTTTAAATTTCGCGCCATTATTTCTAACCTGCAAAAATGTTATTCAATTTCGTAATTTAGGGTACGGTCACACTTCAACGAAATCTAGTGAATGTTTAGTAACTTTCTAGTTCCAATCGAAATTTTTGAAAAATTACTAGAAAGTTACTAAACATTCACTAGATTTCGTTGAAGTGTGCCCGTACCCTTAGAGATACGGTCAAAAACTAACCAAAGTTATTTAATGGCGTAAAAATCAGTAAATTAAATATTTTT